AGGGGGGGGGGAATAATAGAATATACAAAATAAGTGATGTACAATGCAATTGCTCACCACCTGCCAACCGATGCCCAGCCAGTCCCTGAGCAGCGGTCACTGCCCCCCAGCCAACTCCCCCCAGTTTATATACTGAGCATGACGCCATATAGTGTGGAACATCCCTTTGGCTGGTTTGGGTCAGCTGTCCTGGCTGTGCCCCCTCCCAGCTTCTCGCTGGCAGGGCATGGAAAGCTGAAAAGTCCTTGACTAGTGTAAGCACTGCTTAGCAACAACTAAAACATCAGTGTGTTATCAACATTATTCTCCTACTAAATCAAAACCACAGCACTGTACCAGCTACTAGGAAGAAAATTAACTCTATCCTAGCTGAAACCAGGACACCTGACCATCCATCTTTTTGGAAACTCATGACATATATTCCAGTGGGAGCTTTGTATAAAGGTAAACTCCTGAAACGTGTATTCTTGGTCACAGATTCCTCTTAAGAAATCCAAGATTAGGAGAATAATCTGCTGCTGCTGCTTCTGTGGATTTTAATTTTTTTGGACTTTCCATTTATCCTGAAGGAAGATCCTGAAGAAATGACTTTGATCCTCACTTTTTTCAGTGATTGAACTGAATCATTTACAGATTTCAGAATTCTAGTCACAGGAAGACAACTTTTATGCAGTTTTTGCCTCTATTTAGAAAGAAAGTTTTTCTTCAGATTAACATCTCATGTTTTACTGCTCTTTGTAATAAAACCTTCTGATTGGCAATGCTATTTGTCCCAGTCTCCACTCCTTGTTGTATCTAGAACTGGGTGCTGTAAGGTATTTCATAAGCTAAAAATTTCATACCTTGGACAGATCAATCAATGACAATGACATCCATCAGTGACATCCTGTGGCACAGACAGGATCGGGGCCCTGGCCTATGTGATGGAAGCTTTCTACCCAAAGCCTTATGGTGGGAGAAACTACAGAGCTGTAACACAGAAACTCTTTGAAAAGGGGTTAGGGAGGAATGGTGGATCTAACTGAGGCCTTGGAGGGAGAAAAATGAGAAGATATGGAGGGAGTGAAAAATGAAGAGAGCCACAAGGAGCTTATGATGGGGTGGCAAAGTACAAGAAATTTCCTGTCGTGCTTTCTGCATTTAGTGAACAGGTACAGCAGACAGCCACACTGTGGCTACTGTCCCTCACAGTCTGCAGTGACCTGACATGACCTTTGTCCTGACCAGATCACACTGGTGGAAGGACACAGAAACCAAACAAATACCCATAACAACCTGAGCAGACATCTACCAATTGAATCAATCACTGAGCTGCTCTTTCTTCAGTCAGGGTGTTAGACATAGTCCTAGATACAGGCTTGAAAGAGTCTAGCTTATTTATCATGAAAATGGGCTTCCCAAAGCGGATTTTGATTCCTACAAACACTTTACTCGGCAGCAGTGTGCCTGCTGTGAGGCAGACCACACAATAGCACAGGAGGTGGTAGGAGAGGAGCAGCCCTTTGTACACACTGAGAGCACTGTTCAGTAGGGTGTCAGGCTTACCCAGAGATGGCTCAAGTGAAACTAATCCTACTGCACTGAGCAGTGCAGGAACCTTTGTGCCAAGGAGCAGCCATGACAGAGACCCACAAGCTCAATGTAATCCCAGAAAGATTCAAAAGAAATATGGAAGCTGTAGAAGCACATAAATGTTGGTTTGGAAGGGACCTGTGGAGGACATCAACAGAAACCTCCTGTTACAAGCAGAACCACCCAGTAGAAACCTGCAACTCAAAGCAGGAGACAGTTGCAAAGGAAGAATCTCCGCTGTCTTCCCAGGACCTTGGCACTGGCCTGAGGGATCCAAGCTCTGTAAGATGAGGTACAACTGTGAGCAGTGTATCAAGATGCATGACTCAGGCAAGAGAAGATATCCAGACCTGCAGGCAGACCTGTCCATCAGGTCTGCAGTAAGCACTGCACTTACTGCTGTAGTTCCAAACAATTTACTAAATGTTAGTTCTCCTTGCAGCTATTAAAGGCTGATCCAGGAGATTTTCTAAGGAAAGACCCAAGGGGTGGGACATAAAGAAATGAAGGACATTTTACATGAAAGCTGTAAAAATATAACCTATCATCCCAAAACCAACTTCCTTTCTTCTTTATTTCTTTCACCAACTTTAGCATACTTTTAAAAAAGAATTGTAAAGTGATTTACACCAGGTATTTCCACCGAGATAAGATCCCAGAACCTAAAGCCTAAAGGTCAGCAAAGGCTTACTGACATCATCTTTCTTGCTGCATCCAGGACAATAATGTGCCACTTGATCTTGACCAACAAAAGTGCAATGCTAGGGACTATCTATGCTGAACTTCCAGCCACATTGTGTGAAGCAATATTTTTCTGCAGGGGGTTTTCTCCTCTGAGTCACACATTAACATATGCATATGTACACATACCTGCAGACAAGAAGCCCACCATCAAACTGTTACTCCCAGTACAGGTATTGGCTTGTGGCTCAGAGTTTTCTGCAAGTTCAGACATGCAGTAGGGTTCCTGTGCTCCAATATGAGTTGGGTTATTACAGCTGTTCTTGGTTTAGTCAAATACAGTACCATTCATTATGAACCTTGCCACCTCTGTGAGTGAAGGGATTGTGGGGATGCAAAAACTGTCACTGATCTTGTCTTGGACAGTCCTTGTGAACCAACGTCTGCTCAGGAACCTTCATGGATAAAAGCCAAAGGCAGAAGGCTGCAACTTTGTAGAGAAGCGAAGCTTTTTCTAAAGAAGCTACTGATGGGACCTCAGTCCTCTGGGACCCCAAATCACACTGCAGTTAAGCCAGACTAACAGGTAGGTATTGCTGAACAGCATAGTCTTGGTCCTGCTCACCTTTTTCTGCCTTTGCTCCCATCCATGCTCTCCTGACCCTTAGAGTAGTGCTCAACTTGACCCCACAGAGAGCAGGTCAGAGATAGGGACCCAACTCAAAACTGACAAGGTCTAGGAGGAAAAAATGTGTTTCTTCCTTCTACCTGCTTGAACAGGCTTACCGCGGGGCCAGAGAAGCAGTAGGAAGCAGGCAGGAAAAAATGCACTGTCCCTTTCAGCAAGGCATGGATGCAGCTCAGCTACATCAGAAAGCCATGCTGCAAATCTTGGGAGCTTTTGCAGAAAGCTGAGCTGACAATGTGTCAGCACTCCACCTCCTACCCCTACTTACCTTCTTACAGCACAGCTCTGCCTCTGTGTGTGCTCAGTGGCCCTTGCTTAGGGTCACAACTTTGGTCTCCAGTTTGACTTCTTGTAGCAAGTCTTGGGTCTCTCCCTCTCTCCATCCAAAAGCCCAGCAACAGGATAAGTCTTCCTTTCCACTGCTATAATTTGCCTGCTTGTGTTTATAGACCTAAAGACAATATCCTAACCCAACTTAACAAAGCTGGAGAGCTGTGGTCTCTGACTGCTCAGATCACAAAGGTGGTAATGGGAGTGTGTCTTACCTAACCTGTAATGGTTTGGTTCCCGAATACCAGGTACTATCTAGAATGAGACATAGTCTGAACTGTGTCATTTCTAGTCATATGAAAGTTCCTCCTTTTCTTCTCCTTGGAAATCCATTTCTATTTCCTCACATGTCCTATGAAGTTGTAGTTGTATGCAATCTGAGCTGTGCTCTGAAGACATGAAGCTCGTAAAAATAACCCAGTCTACCAAACAATTAAATGTCTCTCCCCACAAGGTCCCAGTATCTTCTGGGTCTCAAATTTCAGCCATTTCCACAATCTTCTCCATGAAGATGGTTTCATACACTGAAGGCAAAGAATAGCTCTGGGCATGTCCTAGCTGTCTCTGCTTGGTCATGCATCAACAGATGCAGACAAATCCAAATCCTTCAGCCCAAATCTGGGTGGGGAAGACACGAACCAGCTGAAATCTGGAGGTTAACTGCTTATTTAGACATGTCCATCGTCTGCTTCACCACCAGCTACTCTGACTCTTGCGTCAAGTCACCCACAGTCTCGGATCTTCTGTCCAAAAAGACAGGGGACTTCACAAATAATTTCTATCATCACAAACACCCTTACCACTGGATGGCTAGCCCGGTGGAGGCACAAGCACATATAACAACCCCCAGATATCTCTTCCTGTGTGCATTTGGAGAAGGTCTGAGATAGGGGAAGGGGTTCTGCAGATCAGCTAGCAGGAGGGTGTTCAGCTTGAGAGCGGCACTGCGGTCGAGGCAAAAAAAGCAGACTTCAGCAATTCAGCAACACCAGGACCTAGGAAACCTTGGGAAGCAGATGGACAGTTGCTCTAAACAGCTGAGGAATTGGGCATAGGACCCTAAGGCTCTTTGTGAATTTAGATCCTGGCTGATGTGAGCTAAGTGCCTTAACACCCTCGAGAACCTGACCCCATGCTCTGACATCTCTCTCAGTTTTCTAAATACACCACCCAGCTTTTGAAAGCATCAGGCATATCGCAGCTTTTCATGTGGTAGCACTGTGCATGCAGGTGAGCCTGAAGGGGCACTTTGATGCATAAAACAACATTTATGAGCACATGTCATGCCATCAATATTTTTGGGTAGTCTCCTTAGGATG